TAGGGTACATGGTCCTGGGTGTATATGGTCTAGGGTAGATGGTCCTGTGTGTATATGGTCTAGGGTACATGGTCCTGGGTGTATATGGTCTAGGGTAGATGGTCCTGGGTGTATATGGTCTAGGGTAGATGGTCCTGTGTGTATATGGTCTAGGGTACATGGTCCTGGGTGTATATGGTCTAGGGTAGATGGTCCTGTGTGTATATGGTCTAGGGTACATGGTCCTGGGTGTATATGGTCTATGGTACATGGTCCTGGGTGTATATGGTACAGACGCGTGCCTCTCTGCTCTGTGCTTGTTTCACCTTTTAATCTCCTTTAATAATTTTATTTATATTTTTTTCTACAAAACAGGGATTACTCCTTTTACAGACTTCAGCTTTGTGGAATTTATCAACTTTAGTCATGACTGGACGAAAGAGACGGAGAAAAGTCTGTGACGGCTGCTGTGCTCTGGAATATCAGCTCAAATCTCTCCAAACACGGATATCTATTGTGGAAACAGAAATGGGACTTAACCCGACTGTTCCAATGAGTGAAAATGGGATGAATGGACAAACTGGAAATTTAAGTTATGACGTCATTTCCTTTCCCAAAATCAACAATGAGAACTATTGGAACAAATGCGGGGCTAAACCCAAAGTCGACAAAGCTAAGAATGACAATAGGAGTGAAATTTTGCCACAACAAAATGTTTTGAAGACTTCAAAATCGTTATGCTGCTCTGTCTGAAGCAGCAAAGCCGCTGACAAATGTAGCACCTCCACCAAGGACGCACTGTCTTCTTATCGGAGATAGCGCCGTACAAAATGTAAACATGAACTCTACACGGACTTACTCAGTTCACTCGGCAAAAGTTGCTGAGATAAAGGCACTCATCCCAAAACTTTTATCAGAAAACCCGAGTGTGGGTACATTGTTGATCCATACGGGGGCAGTAGACATCTATGAGAAGACGAGCGAGAAGCTGAGAAGCGATTTCACTCTGCTACTGGGCGAATTCACAAAAATGGATATATACATTTTTATCAGTGGCCCACTTCCAAACACAGATGGAATAATCGAGAAGTTTAGTCGTCTGTACCAGCTAAATACATTTCTACTCAACGAATGTTCACGCAGAGGACTTGCCTTCATTGAGAACTTTAATCTGTTCTGGAATAGACACGAGCTTTTTGAAGGAAAAGACCCACATTTGAACAAATACGGAGTAAAAGTGTTAAGCTTCTGCCCTAAGACCTCAGCCTGTGCAGCGCGTGCAGCCGTCAAGAGGGAGGAAGAAGCAAAGGGCTTCTCCAGCAACTCCAGAGTTCTCTGCACCTCCACCGCCTCAAAAGAACTCAATTCTCTAAAGTTCAAAAATAACTCAACAACTCCAAGGTTCCAAAAGAACTCACCTCCACCCTCCCGAAAGAGCTCAACATCAGCAGCAGCTGCCACATCATTATCAGCACCATCAGCAGATACAGCACCAGCAGCAGCAGCAGCAGTGGCTGCTGCATCATCTTCAGCAGCACCTTTCCCACCTACAGCTCCCATGAAGTCCCCCCATTGCTCCAGGCTACAGCCTGTACTGGGGGCTCCTCAATCACCTCCGTCTCCACCAAAGACTCCCTCATCACCTTCCATGGCCCCTGCTTTCCCATTCTCCTCTTATCTCTAAACACTAGGATGCACAGGGTCTCTGCTTCGCAGCCACTGGCAGTCTAGTTAGAGGAGAGACCCAGCTGGGAGAAGAGGCGAGGGCCTTCACACCCCTAAAAACCACCCTTGAGCGCAAGTGAGGTCCGGAGCTCACTTGCGACCGAGGGTGTTCCCATGATGCATTACAATAGCTGTTGGTAAAGCAGCAGTCGGGCAAAGCCGCGCCACAATCAATCCAATCCAATCCACTTTATTTATATAGCACGTTTAAACAACAGTTACGTTTCCAAAGTGCTGCACAAAAAAATATAAAATAAATAAAAACGTATCCTTAGCTTCACCAAGTATAAAAGAATAAAAATATATAATACAATGAAAGAAAACAGCATGAAACACCCGCGCACAAGATCAAGCTCCAAAGCGTGTGCGGGATAGTTTTTAAAGCGCGTGTTGGTTCCGTGTGCGTTGACGTTCGCTCCCGAAGCGGCTGCAGCGACTGGCGTTCACTGAGGCTTCAGAGACGTGGTGCATGTTATTATAATAGATCCATGTTGTAGTTCAGAGAATCGCTTTGACACAGTTTGCTTTGAGATCCGCGGGACCGCCGCTGCACCTGTCTGTGTGTGTTTGTACATGTGTCCGTCTGTGTGCGTGTGTCTGCCTCTGTGTGTGTACATATGCGTGTGTGTGTGCGTCTGTCTCTGAGTGCGTGATATGCATCCGTTCTGTACCTAATTATAGCAAATCTTCATATGAAATAGAATTAAAAACGTCTCATTTTAGTAAATACTATATTTCATAAAGTCATATCTGTGTCAGATCTTATCTGTGGTGAAATCAGGCACTTTGATAATGTGTGTGACGTGCAACACGTCTGCTGCGTCATTTGCATATTGTCCCCTAGATCCAGGGGTGTCCCAATTATTAAGGAGAATTAGGCAAGGCAAGGCAAGGCAAGTTTATTTGTATGGCACAATTCATACACAAGGCAACTCAAAGTGCTTAACAAAACAAGAAAGCATTAAAAGCATAAATAATCTCAGAACATTAAAAAGAAAGATAAAAATATAAAATCCCTCAGTTGTATGCACAGCTAAACAGAACCGTTTTTAACGGTTGGTTTTAAACATTGTCATTGAGGAGGCCTGTCTCACATCTTCAGGAAGATTGTTCCAGATTTTAGCAGCATGAATCTGAAAAGCAGCCTCCCCATATTTAGTTCTGACTCTGGACACTAACAGGAGTCCAGTCCCTGTGCTCCTCAGAGTCCGGGCTGGTTCATATGGGACTAACATGTCACTAATATATTTTGGTGCGAGGCCATGGAGAGACTTGTACACAAGCAGAGCTGTTTTAAAATCTATTCTCTGAGCCACAGGAAGCCAGTGCAGAGACCTGAGAACTGGACTAATGTGGTCGTACTTCCTGGTTCTAGTCAGGACTGATGTGGTCGTACTTCCTGGTTCTAGTCAGGACTCGAGCTGCTGCATTTTGAATGTACTGCAGCTGTTTTACAGCCTGTTTGGACAGACCTGTGAGCAGGCCATTGCAGTAGTCTAACCTACTGGAGACAAATGCATGGATAAGAATCTCCAAGTCTGCTTTAGACACTATGTTTTTGATCCTGGCAATGTTTTTTAGATGGTAAAAAGCTGCTGATGTTACTGATTTGATGTGGCTATTAAAATTTAAGTCTGAGTCCAGTATTACCCCTAGATTTCTGACCTTGTTTGAAGGTTTTAGGGAGAGAGACTGTAGGTGACAGATGACGCTCTCTCTTTATTTCTGAGGACCAAAGACAATAATTTCAGTTTTGTCTGCGTTTAGCTGAAGGAAGTTGTTTTGCATCCACTCACTGATCTGTTGGATACAGTGAAGGAGTGAGTCCACTGGTCCATGTTCTCCTGCAGTCAGTGAGACATAGATCTGAGTGTCGTCTGCATAGTTGTGATAGGACACATTTCTGCGTATTAACTGACCTAACGGCAGCATATAGAGATTGAACAGAAGAGGTCCCAGGATCGACCCCTGTGGGACTCCACAGGTCAGGGCCATATGATCTGAGACACAGTTTCCAATCTCCACAAAGTACTTCCTGTCTTCAAGGTAAGACCTAAACCAACTTAGACTAACCCAGTCCTCTAGTCTCTGTAAGAGGATCTCATGGTCGACAGTGTCAAAGGCAGCACTCAGATCTAACAAGATTAGGATTGAGACTTTGCCTGCGTCAGTGTTCAGCCGGATATCGTTTGTAACCTTGACGAGAGCAGTGTCAGTGCTGTGGTGGGGTCTAAAGCCGGACTGAAACATATCAAATGAGTTGTTGATTATAAGAAATCTAGTAAGCTGTAGGTAGACAACTTTTTCAAGGACTTACCCCATAAATGGCAGATTTGAGATGGGACGATAGTTGTTAAGTACCGTAGCATCCAGACTGCTCTTTTTTAGCAGGGGCCTGATGACTGCCGTTTTCAGGGCCTTTGGGAATATTCCAGAATGAAGGGACATGTTTACTATCTGTGTGAGTGAAGGTAACAGACTGCTCAGAACAGACTTCATAAATCTAGTGGGTAGTACATCCAGGCTGCATGTGGAGGAGCTCAAACTGGAGATTATCTCTTGGACAGTTTGATCATCTACAGGTGCAAAGTGAGTTAGCTCAGAGAGCCTTTCTGGCTGTTGGATTGTTATCTGTGGATTGGAGACAATGGCGTTTTTGATGCCTTGAAAAAGTGTGCAAACTCATTGCATTTACGTTTGGAAGTAAGCTCTAATGGCATTTGAACAGGGGGGGTTTGTTAATCTATTAACTGTTGAAAACAGAACACGCAGATTGTTACTGCAGCCTTCAATCATTTCAGAAAAATACCTTTCTTTCGTACTACGTAGCACCCGGTTAAACTCGCACAACTTATCCTTGAATATCTTGTAATCAACCTGGAGGTTGGACTTGCGCCACTTCCGCTCGGCCCTCCGGCACTTTCTCTTCAGTGCTCTGACAGAGTCTGCTTTAGCCCACGGCGCCTTCTGCTTATTTTTCACAATTTTTAACCTTCACAGGGGCAACGGTATCCAGAACATTCAAAACACTAGAGCTGTAGGTGGGGAAGGTGCTGCTGAAGATGATGCAGCAGCCACAGCTGGTGCTGGTGATTGGAAACTGTGTCTCAGATCATATGGCCCTGACCTGTGGAGTACCACAGGGGTCGATCCTGGGAC